TTCTTAAATAGGGAATAATAGGTCCAAATAAAAACTAATGTGATCTATTTTAATGCTATGTTTTATTCTCTTCCTATCTTACGATATGGTTTCCAAATTAAACTTGAATTTGGATTCATTACAGACTCATGTTTCCTAAAAAGAAGGTAGGCACATAGCGACCATATGCGAGTTTCCACTCCTAAAATTAGTTTAATGACAACAACAAAAATAGATTTTCTAGCTAAATTCACTTCTTATCATTTCTGCAGGGAAGATGGGGAGAGATGAGGGGAATGTGTGTTTGAGAAAGGATACATCATCAGAGCTCTTTCAGATTTATTTCTAAATGGAGTGCACATTGAGGAATACCCAAGAGACAGAGGCAAAACTCAGCCATGAGAATGTCTTCTTTAGAATAGCTCATGTGGTTAAACTTTACATGTTATCAATGAGGATAACTTGCCTTCCACCATGTTATCACATGGCGAAATACAGATCATAGGCATTAAAACCCATGTTCTCTTTTATTTTGCAAGAACCTAAATTCACGTCATAGGTAAAGGTTGAATGGTAGAGTACAAGAGTTCTAATGACTTAGATCAGCAGTCCCCAGTCTTCTTGGCACCAGAGACCTGTTTCGTGGAAGACAGTTTTCCCACAGCGTAGTGGAGAGAGGGCAGGGGTTGGTTTGGGGATGAAACAGTTCCACCTCAGATGATCAGACATCAGTTGAGCCTCATAAGGAGTTCGTAACCTGGGTCCCTCACTGCAGTGCGCAGTTCACAATAGGGTTCATGCTCCTATGAGAACGTAATGCCGCTGCTGATGTGACAGGAAGGGGAACCCCAGCAGCAATGCTCACCTCCTGCTGTTAACTTCCTGCTGTTCGGTCTGGTTCCTATCAGACCAGGGACCAGGACCAGTCCACGGCCCGGGTGTTGGGGACCCGTGACTTAGATGACCTGGAGGACCGAGTGAAAAAGAATGGACCAATTTTCTTTCTTTCAATGACAACAAATTCTCAAAACTTCTTAATGCACAGAACCATTGTGGGTTTCTTCAAATATTGCAATAAGCAACTTAATATTCAGAACCGATTTTTTTTTGGCAGACACCTGTATCTTTTTTTTTCTACTGACAGAATGGATTAAGCTTTCCAAGTCATTTGGAATTCCTTAGGCATTTATTTAAAATTTTATTTTTAAATCTCCCCCAAAGCAAAGAATAATTTCTAGTGAACATGTGGGGAAATATTTGTTACTACAAACCTTTTAAGAATATTAAAAGCAAATTTTGCCCAGAAGCAGATTGCATTTCTGCCTTCCATTGTAGCTGTATTTCCAAGTGAAAGGCAGATAACAAAAGAATTAGAATGGGATTAAAAAGTCTTTTTTTAAAAAAAATAAGGGGGTATGGTCCAGTGGCTCACACCTATAATCCTAGCACTTTGGGAGGCCAAGGTGGTGGATCACCCGAGGTCAGGAGTTCCAGACTAGCCTGGCCAACATGGTGAAACACTGCCCCTACTAAAAATACAAAATTAGCCAGGTGTGGTGGTGAGCCCCTGTTCTTGGGAGGCCAAGGCATGAGAATTGCTTGAACCTGGGAGGCAGAGGTTGCAGTGAGCCGAGATCATGCCATTGCACTCCAGCCTGGGCCATCAGAGCAAAACTCTATCTTAGGAAAAAAGAAAAAGAAAAATAATAGTAGAAGTAATTACGTGGTTACCAATATCACAGGTTTACTACATGCAGACACCGGATTAAATGCTCCTTGTAAGCACTCCTTAATACTCACCAACACCCTTTGAGGTTGCTATTTTTATTATATTCAGTAACCAATGAGGAAAAATGAGGAATAGGGAAATAAAAAGACTTGACTAATTCTCATCGCCAGGATTCAGCCCCAGCTCTTTGTACCCCTGGATAACCTAAGGGTGATTAGGGCAAGACTTCTTCCTTTGTCTTGTACACATCAGGATAGAGGGAGACTCGGGGCATTGAGGTACTGGGCTTTGAGCCTGCAAGTGGAGCAGACAGAATGATAGACAGGCCTGTGGGCTCCTGTGGCCTCGCTGAAGGACAGCATGCCTGGTTGGCTACTGGTCCTCAGTAGGTAACCTAAATCCAATCCCAAGACCAAGTAAGTTTGATCAATACATTTGTAACCCAATAGCTAAGATTTTCATTGCATAGTAAACTTTTGGTTCACTGAGCCTTTTAAGAACTTACATGAAAATACAGAGCTATGACTCAAGCTTGCATTTGAGATCCTATTTGAAGGGACGATGGTAAGGCTTATAACTTCTCTCGATATTGTTTTCAAATCAATGGAAAGGCTTGTTTTCGTATTTTAGTAATATGCCATCTGACAGTTCTTCCCCCTAGTGTTTCTTCTCAGTGAGTTTTCAGCATTTAGTCCAAATGTGTATTCAGCAGGTCGAAATCTTAGCCTGTTTGCACTGGGTGCTGGCAGCTAGGTGTAGGGTGTAGTGATATCATTTACAGCCTTGAAGGCAGGAAACAAAGCATCCAACACCCTACTTGCCCTTTACTAGGCTTCCCTCTGCCTCCTGAGGCCTCAGGTGCTGGGTACAGAGTTGTCTGGGAGCTGACTTACCCAGCACAACCTGTGTTCTCTGTTCCTGGGCTTTGCTGAACCCTCCCATGAATGCCCCTTGGTCTGGTTGTAATAAAACATCTCCAAGCTCTGAACACCACTATTATCCATGTAATGGTGGTTCTAGTGCTGGAGGTTCTGAACCACTACCAGTGCCTTATGACCAAGCGGCAAGGGGAAGAGATGAGGGGACATCACCTATATTAAACATTACTCACTGACCTCATCTGTCAGAAGCAGAAACTATAATCTTTTTCGTAGAGCAAAATAGAATCCCAGTCCTTAGTATAAACCACACATTTTGTGTTGAAGCTGACTGTTTTCATGGTCATTTTCCAGAGTGACATGGGAGCTTTCATTTCATTTGATCTACTTTGAGTGACATTTAATGTAGGATGGAAAAAAAAAGATCGCTACAGTTAGTTTATAACAGTTTTGCCAGATGTGTTGAGCTTTACTTTTCCACTTAGAATTGTTGCGTGGCCATTTCCCAATATAATGGCACATGTACCATGTGTCCTGCTGATGGTAAAAGGTGAGCTAATTTCCACCCAAGGAGCAATTGAAATCCCTCCAATACTAGACGTTAGGAGAAGGTCGTAGAGATACTAGGTAAAGAGTTTTCTCTGTGTTTATTACCTCGCAGTGGAGTCATCTCTGGATTATTGCCAGATGTAAAACTCTTCAAGGGCCAGGTGGCAACTCCCACCACCCTGGCTAAGCCACACTCACCCAGTGTACTAGCAAATTCCTTTATGCTAGGAATAAGCTCTCCAGTTGGTGATGCAGACAGATTCCAGCTCCAACTATTTCTGCTAAATTACTTTGCTTGAAAGTTTATACAGTGCCTCCCTAACTATCTCATTAAATCTCATAACAATTTTATGAACCAAGAAGGGCAGAGATTATTATTCACATCATGTAGATATGCAAGATGAATTTGAGAAATAAATGCCAAGTGGTTTGCTGCATCTTCATGCTAATCTTGAACTTATGTTCTTAAAACCAGGTTCACCTGATAACAAATGTGATGACGCTCTCGCCTTGAAATTCCTACCTTCAGACAGAGAGTTTCTAAAAGTAGACTTACTGCATCTTTTCAGACCCCTAGCTTATTCCTTCCTTCAGCACATTTCATCAGGATCTCCTGTGGGGCAGTCAGACTTCCAAGTGCAGGAAATCGTGTTGAACCAAGGGGAGGACTTTTCTTAGCAGGGTTATTATAATTGGTGGAGACATTTTATCAATTAATAGTTAAGAAAAGTGTGAGAAAGTGGTGCGTGTGCTGCCAAGAATTCAAATGCCGCGATGTGATAGAAAATATTTGCAAAGTTCTTGTAGATAGGGTGGTCAGGAATGGTCTACTTATACTGAAGGGCGGTTGAGTCAATATCTGAGTAGCGAGGAGTCAGGTGCGGGTGAGGAAAAGCACTTTTGGGGAAGAGAGATCAGTGAATACAAAGGTTTGGAAGAAGGAATGATGGATAAGGCTAAAGCAATCTAGGGAGGTTTAAAGTTGCTGAATTACGGGGCTCAAGGCATAGAGGGATGGTGACACACGTGGTCAGAGAGATCGGGGTAGAAGCTCCGCAAGCTTTGTGTTTCAGGCCCAAGACTTTGAATTGTGTTTTGGGTACATATCTAGCTGGCAAGCTGCTTGAAGGTATTAAACATCATCTGTTTTTTTTTTAAAGACACTTTTGGATGAGTTGTAGAGGGGAGAGTTATAATGTGGCAAAGTTGGAGGAAGGACACCCATTAGGAAATTATATTAGTATTTAGGCACGAGGTGCTGGTAGATAAATGGATGCATTTGGAAAGTTTTTTTGTTTTTTACAGTCAACATGATTTGCTGGTGGATTGGATGTTGGCAGTGAGGCAAAAAGGAGAAAACTTAACAATGACTTGTGTACCTTTCATCAGAGCAACTGAGTGGGTAGTAATATGGGTGACACTAAGGGAGAAGCAAGTTGGGAGGCAGAGATGGAAATTGTGGCTGGTGATTTGCATGCGTTATGTTTGAGATGCCTTTGGATATACCAAGGAGTATATCCAGGCGATAGATGGAAGAATTAATAGCTTCCAGCAATGAACAGGAATGCAGGTATGTTGTACTGATGGTGTTTGGTGTCATAAAACCAGGTAATGCTACCCAGGGAGGAAGGTACAGAGAAAAGTGAAAGGTCCTAGGCAGATGCCAAGGCCATGCCACCACTTAGAGAAAACACAGTTTAGTCTGCTAAAGGAGACTGAGAAGGAGCAGCTAGTGATGAGGAAGAATACCGAGACAGTATGAGCCATGGGAAGAAGGTGGTCATTGAAAGAATGCTTAGATTGTCAAATGCTACAATGGACATTCTGTTCTGTTCTTCAGGAAAATGAGCTGCAGTGTATTCTCATGATCTCCATATCATGGTGTCCATATGCCTTTGTGTTACAGTAGATCAGATCGTTTCTCATTCTTAACAAAGCTAATTCATATAAGCTTTTTTTTTTTTTTTTTTAAGTTGAAAAACCATTTATTTCACTGGAAAGAAAAAAGTGTTCCCATGTTCTAGGTCCATCCTTTGGACAAAAAAGAGACCCAGGGGCAGTGAGACTCTCACCAAGGTCATTCCCAAATCCAAGAGCCACAGGAGGCAGGAGGCAGGGAGGAGACAGCACAGCCCCCACCACAGTTTCGGCACACATTGAGACCTGCTGGGAGAACAGAACATGAATGGGAAGCTACAGAAGTATTGAAGGACAGAACAGGAAAACGGGCAGGAGGAAAGGAAAGTAAAGGAAGAGAAGGTCTGAACTTAGCAAGGTGAATTAAGGTCCCCGGTTCCTGAGGGACTGAGCGCACAGAGCCGAGAACGTCCCAGAGATGGGGTACCACGAAGGGTGTATTCTTATGCACAACCGCAGCTTGGAATTTCAGCCCACACACATCCCACCTCAAGCTTTAAAAGGCTGAGTACCGTGCTCGATCCGCATACTGCTCCCGCTCATACTGGGCCATGTTGTACAGAGAATTCTGTGCGGCTGCCGAAGCTTGGGACAACTCACTTAGTCATCCTTAGTTATACCCATAATGTCATCAGCACCTTGGTGTGGACCCTGCATGTTGACCAGCTATGACAAATGCAGATAGATGATTGTGTGAGCAATTGTAAGTGACTTCTTGTTCCATTCCCATCCCCTCAGAAGAACAAAAGTCAAAACAAACAAAACATCTGAGCCACACTTACGTCACTGTATCTCCTTTGTTCCCAAGCAAAGACATATAAAAGTCAAGATAAGGAATGCTTTGTCTTTATCTCCAAACTAACTTCTTTCCTGAAGAGTAGAATAGCTTTTCATACTGTCATCATTTGGATGGAGCTCCTTAAACTCACCTCAGCGCTCAGATTCAAAACCTTTTGTCCATAACAGTGGATGCATTTGCTAGTTCCCCATTCTCATCGAATGGCCCCTAAATGTGCACCTATACTGTTCTTTCCAGTATACAGCTTACAATGGATTCAGCCTTATTCGGGCTTCTTGAATTCAGCCTCGTTGTCTTATCGCCATGGGCTTCAACTAGCTAATGTTCTTTTATTAATTGCATTCTGTCGTCTCGTACATTCTATCCCTTTTCCTCAAGTTATCCTTCTAAACTGCACAGCTGATCACATTTGCATCTTAGCTCCTTTGCTTGCTTTCTGGCCTTGGGCAGCTGTTTGTAGTGCTCTGTGTTCTCCATTTCTCCTGCCTCCTACTGTGGTTTCTGGCTTAATATATGTAAGCTATGACATTACCTTACTGCTTACAACACTCAAATGTAAACATAATTCTATTTTCAAACAACAGCATGTAAGAAACACCATGGTCTGAACTTTTCTATTTTTCCAGTTTCCAGATCTGTTTATTCTTCACCAATCCTTGTGGAATTCAGCCATTCACACTTCTTGCAGTTTCATGAACATGAGATGTTTTTCCACTTCTTATAGACTTTGCACATCCTGGTACCTGTTTTCAGCAGGCATATGTCTCTCTCATCTACCAGAAGAACTTCTATGTTCCTTCTATTCCTGCTCAGATGGCTGCAGGGCTGGGCATCTCTGTGTTAGCCTCCATTTTCTCTACAAACATGTTTTTCTCTCTATGTTCTTACAGTATATATCTTTACTTCTCAAATTGTATCACAATTATCTTTTTCTCTTGCCTTTTCTAGGCTGAGAATTTCTAAGATACAGCAGGCTTTAGAAAAGCTCATATTGTATCCCAAATTCTGTTACATAATAGGTGTTTGGTAAATATTAGTTGAATACATTTATAAGTTCCACTGGACTACATAGGAATATTAGTAGAGAGTTAACACTTGCTGTTTTGTGATGTTTTCTTGGCATAGAACCAATCCAGTGATTACATATAGTTGACATAGGGTTTCTATTTCTATTTCCTATGTTGTGAGTCTATTGATACTAAACATTACTGAACCTCAAGGAATGTCCTTAATGCTGTTAGGTGTGAGAGGAGCAAAGTTAACTGAGGATGATCATACTATAATAATTTTGTTTGTCATTCATGTAAAGGCAATAGAGAAGCTACTTCCTAATGCTGAGTTTCTTTCTCCTGAGACTCATCATTCTTTAAAGGGAAAGTAGAGATTGGCATAGATGGCTCAGGGAGGAGTTCTTTTGGTGATAACCAGAGTCAGATTCCTTGAAAAGGTAAGATGTTGAGATGTTTTTGTACTGCATTTGGAGTAGTTACATTTGTATTTTTATAGGTTCTATTAAAATTGGGTAATGAAGCACTATATGTTTGTCAAATCACCTGGATAGTATATTAGTACGAACATAAATCTAACAGATTATAATAATGTTTGTCAAAACATCATAGGAGGTAGACCAATCAAAATGGTTCTAAAGATCGATACAGTCTTTGAATATGCAAATAGAATGATGAGCATATTGGGGCCAGAGATAGTTTCCAAAACCGGAAATCATTTCTAAATTAAAAAGCAGTTAAATATTTTATAATTGCTGTTTGAATGTATGTGTATGTGGCTTGATTTTCACAGCTACAATAATCCTAGGAGAATAACTGAAGAGACTTAATTATCCATCACCACAACTCATTAAATCAGTTGTCCTTGAATGAAAGCTCATATAGACAAATATGGAAGAAAGTTATCATACTTGGGAAAACAAAGAAGAAAAAATAGTTTTTCTTAATTATTCACCCTGATAAGAGCTCTAAGAATTAAGCAGTGAGGCAGGCAGCTCTGTTAGCATTACTTATTTCAGACATATTAGAGCTTTTCTGGGGTATGATCATCCGAGAAAGCATTGAATTTAAAAGGCAGTATTTACCCATTGCCTGTGTGGTAGCATAGGGAGGAATGTTTGGCTCTTCCATGACTTGTCGTGTTATTGTCAGCCCTGAGACTATTTAGGGAGACTCTAATGAGGTGGATACTGTAGTGTGAACACAGTAGGGGGATAATGAGGCTGGGGATGAGGAAGAGTTGTGTTCTGGGAAAGGGCCGGTCAAAAAGCAGGGAGCTAGCCCATGCAAAAGGCTGAGTTCCCAAGAGTGTACCAGGCCCTTATCTTCATCTCTTCCATGGTTCTTCACACCTCCCCAGGGTGTACCTGTTCTGTGCTGTATGAGAAAGGGCTTGGCCTTTATATTCCATATGGGAAACTTGGAACCCTCTTTCACCATAAAGGAGGGATATGGAATCTTAGAATCTTAAATTGGAAGTTCAAGTGTACTTTCTTGGCCGTGCCTGCATAATGGATGGATCTGTCATAGCATCTCAGGCACAATTGACCTCCATGCTATCAGCTTACAGAATGTCTCTGTGGGATAGTTTTTGCTGTATTCTCTTAATTCAACATGACCGCTTTGGAAATATAATTTAGTTTGAATTTTCTATGTATAGTTTAGTGATCTTTATCCACATGTCATATGTCAGATTATAGGATGCTATCCATGCTTATTCATGCATGCCCTTTGTCTTTACCTCTGTTATTATTTCAAGTGGGTTTGGATAATTACACAAAATTGCAGAATAGTAAGACTATTCTCAGTTAGGTTTACTTTTGTGTTTTCCATGTACCTGCAGAGCTCAGATTGCAGGGCAGGAATCGGGAGAAGCTTTCAAATCGATGATTGTATGAAATCAACATTGAAATCATAACAACTATTTTGAAATCTAAGTAACGAAGATGTGAAGTTGTGTGTTCTCTAGAAAAACCATTTCATTCCCCATTTTCCCACCAAGGTCCTTTTTGCCTTTTAAAAGCAGCACATTATATTTTTTCTGATAATTTCAAAGCAAGCAAACTCAAATCTGTTAATAGAACTCTGGTGAGTCGTGAAGGAATTAGGAATCTGGGAGATCCTGCCAACTCCTTCACTAAAAGAAGAGTCCACAGCACATGGTAGTTAAGATTGTGGATGTTGGAGCCAGGATGGCCAGACTTCATCATCCTAGGCCATCTATTTAAAAGCCCAGTCATCTTTGGCAAGATGCTTAGCCCCTTTCTACCTACTTTGTAAGATGAATATAATACTAGTACCTAGTATTGGTACTAGTCCTAGGTTGATGGGAAGGTAGAGTTAGTTATGATGGGCTGGGCGTGGTGGTTCATGCCTGTAATCCCAGCACTTTCAGAGGCCAAGGCAGGCAGATCACGAGGCCAGGAGATCGAGACCATCCTGGCCAACATAGTGAAACCCCATCTCTCCTAAAAATACAAAATTTAGCTGGACGTGGGGGTGTGTTCCTGTAATCCCAGCTACTCGAAAGGCCGAGATGAGACAATCGCTTGAACCAGGGAGTTGGAGGTTGCTGTGAGTCAACACTGTGCCACTGCACTCCAGCCTGTCCAGTCCAGCCACAGGGTGAGACTCTGTCTCAAAAAAAAAAAAAATTTTTTTTGATGGGCAGAAGAGCACTAGCCATCTTCCGCATCAGTAATTGGTTCATTCTCATCTCTGAGCATGCATGCACTCCTTTGGGCTAATTTTCCCTATATGTCTTGCTAGCAGCTCTTTTAGGCTATTGTACTGTCACACATTGTCTGATTCCAGGATTCTATTGCTGCTTTGCTTCTCTATTATAGTTACACTTGGAAACATTGTGTCCACTCCAGATTGATTGATGGCTTTCTGCACATTGCCTCTGGTTAATCTCACAGTGCTGATCTAAATGTTGGTAGTCGTGACTCATAGTCATAGTCAAAACTTGAGAATCAGAGTCATACATAAAGTGTTTTTAAAAATAACATTGAAGTTTTGCTGTTGATATTGTGAATTATAATTGAGACACAGTACAGCTGAAACTTTAGTGTAAATCCTGAAGTTGGCTGATTAAGGGAGAAATGCTATCCCTCTTCAAAGGTTGGAGATGGAATTAATATTGGCTTTTAATAGCATGGCTCTTTTCATAATGTTGCTCAAATGTGATGTCTTAGCACTTTTTCTGCTATTAGACTAACACAGGCTGGGTAATTTATACACAGTATTACTTTATTTAACTCATGGTTCTGGAGGCTGTGAGGTCCAAGAGTTTGGTGCCAGCTTCTGACTAGGGTCATCCACTGATGAAAGGCATCAAATAAAGAAAGCTCATGAGACAGAGGGAGAAAACTAGCCCAAATTTATCTTTTTTGTCAGAAACCCACTCTAGTTATAACTAACCCACTCCTGTGATGATGGAGTTAACCCATTTAGTAGGGCAGAGCTCTCAAAACGTAAATTTTGGAGGGACATTAAAAACCTTAGCATGTGAAAATCTAAGAAAAATGCAAGACACATAAGAAAAATACACTAACAAATAGATAACAAGTTGTCTATTTGTTAGTGTATTTTTCTTATGTTTTTCCACTTTCAAATTACAACGTCTTTAGCTTTGCTAAATGTCCTGAAGTCAAGAGTTGTAAGTTTTCTCTCATTTTTAAATTTATGTTTGTATCATTCTTATATAATCTTATTGGCTTGACTCAGGACACGGAATTCTAAACAAATAAATCAGTATTATATTACTTTGAAAGATAAGTTTTTGTACTGAACTACTTTGAATTCCTACGGTTTTAGAGGTAACTTTAATGTGATTCATAAGATTTTGTTTGGTTGTTTTTTGCTTTGAAAATCCAGAA